TTAGAACATAAATGCACAAGTTTTTGCTAATTGCAAAGTAACTGCCCTGTAAAACCTTAAGGTTATCAATCACATTTTTAAAATTATCATTATTATCTCCTTGTGCAAGATAGGCAAGAATAAGCAAAGTTAAGGTACCGTTTGTCGGTCAGTCAAGTTTTATCAAAATTGCGTAATAGGAACAGGTATACACACTTATCTGGGATGTAAAAATAAATCTGATTTTGAGGCGTACAGTAATGTTTATATCCTGTTGACTAACTGAAGTATTTATCTAGAAATGTTAGCCAGTGCTCTACAGGCTCCAAACAGTATAATCAGCTGAGTAAAATGTACTTCATACACCTGAATACTCCTCAAAATATCATACAATCCAGGAATAAAGGTACCTTCAGTTTGGACCAAAAATAAATGAGTACCGTAGTTGATTTTCTATCACCATTTCCAAACCATGGTGGTTCGAAAACCCATAGTCTCCAATATTGTCCAGATACAGATCCTCTAAAATGTGTATATTTTACATTTTGTATACTCTCATCCAATAATGTATGGCCTCTTTACATGGGAAATCTTCACTTCAGCATATCCATGACTCATTTATTAATGGTTCAAACTGTAATTGATTATTTGATTGAAAAATAGTTTAATCCCCTAAGTTCTGCCAAATAATGACAGTGCAGGATGAAAATGAGTGCAGTTTCACAAGTTTTTGTCCTGAAATGTTATCTACTGCATAGATGATACTAGTATATAATTAGATGGATTATATTTTCTTTGAAGACCCGAGGTCTCCAAAGACAGATAAAGTAAATGCCTAATGGAGGACTTGAACTTACGACCTTCTATACTATGATAGTACTATCAAGCAAAGTCTTCAAGATCCAGACCATTCTGCAAAGCCTCATAAAGCTTACCCATTTAGTTATATTAATCGTTGCATCTTCTTTTTTACAACTGACCATGATGTTATTTGGCCCATATATGTCAATACAAGCTTGTTCATCAAGTTAGGAATTTTTGTTGCAATGCAGCATATAGAGGTTATTTTATGGGAGGTTTTTATCAAAAATCGAGCATTTAATAACTGATTTATTCTATACTTAGTAGATTATGAAGAGTTAAACCCAAGTCCCCTGGCTCAGTATCTTCTCTGTGAATTTTTGACGTCATAAATCTGATGAGCGGGTGATATTGAACGAATATTTCACTCTATTGAGGTGAATACCTGTACATCTTTCACAAGTGATATTCCACGAAGCCCGAAGGGCAAGTGGAATATCACCTTGTGAAAGTGCTACAGGTATTCACCGAAAATAGAGTGAAATATTTGTTTTATTATATCACTGTCTATATAGCTAGCTAAACATCCCTAATATTATTAAGTCATAGGTTAACATTGAAATACATACGAATCTACTCGGTTCGTCTGCCATTTTGACTTACACTGAACTAAATCATTTACACTGAACGAAAACAAATTCTTTGAAAATTCCCGGGAGCGTGGGATATCGCTAGATATCTCACGGTTGTCTTATCTGATTAGCATTGCCATTGAATATCGCCAGATATCCCACGACATGTGACCCGGTTTTGACCAATCATACTGTCGCTAGCTAGATAGCGATATAATAATAGTAGGTATCACATGCTCACTTCAGATATCAATTATATTCCTGCATAGTATTAACCAATAACACTACTTAGTATGGAATAAACTGTATTATATAACTAATTTAGAAGGATCAAGGTCAAAGCAATTCATTGCAAACAAGATAAATAATAAACAACAATTTGTTTTGAAGATGGATGGATGTACTTTCTGATATAGTAAAGGTAAACAAACTATCTTGGTAAAGGCAATCAACTCATAAATTACAATTAATGTTGAACAATCACCTTAAGACATTTCATTTACAAAAGTACAATTAATAAATCAATTTAATTGGAGCAAAGGTTAATTAAGGACTTTGTAAATATTTCTCTTCTCTAAATTCTAAGCTGCCACAAAAGAATATCAATAAAATTCTTAAGATATACAGAAAATACCAATGAAAACATAAATAAATAAATCAGAAATAAATTCTCTCGTCATTAAGAAGATTAAAAATAAATATGTGAGGTACATATATGGTGCATTACAGTAAAACCAAATATAAAATACATCACTCCATGTACATGTTCTGGCATTTTCAGCATTAGATTAGCTTAATGATTAAAGATATTTGAAACAGCAGGATGCTAGCATAATCGATTGATGTTGACAGAATTACAAGTGCAATTATTGAATTCATTTATATTTGCATTTATCCATCTACTATAAAAACATCGTTGCTCACGGTCATCTCAGGACAGCTCATTATCCTATGGTTGAATTTACAAGTGGGAAGCAACCTGCACCATGATTACATGATGCATCCTACTCTACACGATCCTACTCTATTTACACATTCTTTTTCTCATTGCATGCTTCACTGAGTTTTGTTAAATTGACGCTCTGTAGTGAACATATATTTGTGGTTCCATAGGTGTTAACTATATACAGGTTTTACTGTACTAATAAACCACTGTGTAGAATCTTTAAATATTAATGTTGAAATAGTTAAAATATAGTTAACACTTAAATTTGAATAGATATATCATTTAATCTCACGGTTCATTAAGATTTAGAGAGAAACTGAATGGAATGAGCATAGCCAGAAAAATAAACATTTTAGCATGTTAAATAGCTTCTTATACTTAATTAATCTACTGTTCTCTTACTATGACATGGTATCCATGGTTACTACAAGTGACATGGTATCCATGGTTACTACAAGGAATCCTAGATTTACAAAAGCATTTGATAATTACCCTCTGGTTCATCTCAAAATGGAGCAGACAAAAACAAGCAATAAACGTATCGTTAGGAATGTACCTATAGGTTTATATCATTAGGAATGTACCAATGTTTATATGATGTAATCAGGAAATTAAACCCCTGAGCAGTGTGAAGCTGGCATAAACATGTATTTATTTATATACCCGATATCACAACAAGATGAGTAAATAGTTGACTTCATATCATGTGAGAGATTAAACAATTATATCATTTGGCATTGTTAAAGCATAGTCAAAAAATTATTCTTAAAGTATTGCTAAAGTCTGATATTGAAATCTGTTCTGCATAATATTTATACATGTAATTGTTTCTCAAGTCGTTGCCAAGTCAAACGGCATGGCATAAACAATTATGTGTTGAAGACAATAAATTGTTGGAGCTACCAGTACAACCAGGTATGACTGCCATATTTACATGACAGACTGATGAGACAGTGTTCATCCAAATCTATGTATGTATTCTGAACATATCCGTACCAACAGCCAATAGTAATCTTCTTGTAATAGAAAAGGCTTATAAACTGACAGACTGGCAAAAATCCATAGATAATATCCAATAGATATCCATCATATATGTAGCACCCTATCAGTAAATTCTTGTGTTCTAAATATATTGAAATGTAGAGTGAAAAGGGGTGATATTAACAAGGAACGAAGCAAACAGCCATCACGAGACATACTCTAATTAGACGCAAACTCAAATGTATAAAGTATAATTGAGATTATTTTAATGTAACTTGGCAATACGATGTACAAAACTTGTTTGTACATGTAGTCATAATTAATATACCCTTCTTGTCATGTTTTTTGCTTTGAGGCATTTGTTTGCTATCATAGACAACAGTGATAAATGATCAACTCATAGTCCTATTATATTGCTTTGTAGAAACACATGCCATCTGATTGCACAAAATGTCATTTTCAAAATCATATACCTCTATAACATTCAGATCATTAGGGGATTTCTGTCTGATTATGAACTGTCAAATTATGATGAATATACCAGAATAAATATATATGATGAACAAGCTCCTTTATATATCATGTTTGATATATGTATGGAATAATAAATCCATATGAAGCTAACAATTATGCAGCCTTAATAAACATCCTACATGTATGAGATGCCAAAGGTTCAAATCATTAATATCATTTATTAATGCTGAATATTGAGAACACAATTATTACATTGGTAATGACATTTGCAGATCCTGATTCATTATGACCTGATAAACTGTATGAGTTCTATTTAGACATTTCATAAATTTTAAAGATGCATTCAATACCATAGGTTTCTCACCCAGACAATCAAATGATGTCCCACTGTTATTGCTCCTATAATATCTCACATACCATGGATATATCTTGAGAATAACTTATGTAGATATATTATTGCCGAAATATTGAAATAATCAACAGAACAACCAACCTCTAGAATTAAACACAATTGATTCCTCGGCTACCGAGGGGAATCCCCATTGAGTGACACAAGTGCCCACATGCGCCTTGAACCAAACAGCCAATCAGGTTCATGATAAACAAATTGAAAATAATCCGTGAAAATAATCAGTCAGCACAATCGCAAAATTAACATTGAAAGCAGGGGATTTGGGACTTCTTCTTTGGAGATGAGTGAATATGTGGTGAAACTCAATATGCAAAAAGGTCCAGAGGGGTCTTGATTGTGGTATCCTATGGTATAGAGCCTCTTTAATGTGTTATTTTGATGAAATTGGCCCAATCGTGAAACACAATAAACACAACCAAATATGTGGTTGAGACATTACCTTGTTAGAAAAAATTATGCTTGTAAACAACATGGAAGACATGTACTAACAAACCTACAATTTGTATTTAAAAAATCTAATGGTTGTCTTGGTACTGAACAATTGTAGGACTTGATTTTGACTGTCAGTTTGATTGTGTTGTGAAAATACCACCATCTTGGATTTTTGTGAACCATTATAAATTGTTGTGAAATTCTAACGGATATTGCTAAATAAACAAATAAAAATAAACATGACATGTACTCATCTTCAATACATGTTTCTTTGTATGGCTTCGTGGTGAAATCTTTTCTTAAATCTGAGTACATATAAACAGTAATTTCACGGTCCACTCACCTTATGTGGGGTATTCCGACACCTCCCTGAAGAATTTTGTATAATTTACTTTCGTAAAGTAACTGAGGATGTCTGGCTTTTTGCGACTCTAGCTTTACGGCTACTTCCTAAAACACCAGAAACATGAGCTATAATATATTAACTAGGATATGTCAAATTTTGGATCCTCTAAATGGACTAAAACGTGTCGAAATCGACAATTTTGTTTGGTACCTACCTCTCCATTTGAAATGTTGATTCCCAAATAAATATCTCCAAATGAACCACTTCCTATTTTCCTTATAAGTTTGTATTTACCGTTCATCAAGAACTCCTTGTTCGTTGAACTGTTGGCACTAGCCATTGTTCTTTCGTTTTTATCCTAAAACGTCCACATAAAGATGGTAAAATCACAGAAAACTGTGTAAAACTCAGCGATGGTCTCTCGACATTTTTCTTTCGTTGGTGACGTGCACTTGCTAAACAAAGCGCGCAATGAACTCTGGGTAATTTGATCAGTGCACCACCATTGATTATGTTGCTGTGGGAAACAGGCCCTGCACTGAATTGTCTTCCTCTATTAATCATATGATCGTATTTACCTTTATAATTGCAGATGATGAGTAATTATGTAAATTGAATGTATCATGTATAAGATGTAGATTTAGTCATAATCCATGGCTTCCCTAAAATGTGTTTTTGTTGATTGTGTGGTTTGAAAATACATCAATGCCCATGGCACAATCAACCTAGCCATTCAAACTTGGTTGTTTCATTGAGAGGTAAAATTTTGTTGATATTCAATGTTGCTCTCTAAAGGGGAGAAGGTAATAATGGGCACGTATTTAACCCAGTGAGTTCAAATAACCCTCACAGGTAAACATATTTTACCATGGGCTTTGCCCCCATGTTATTACAAACCTGATTTTATCAACAAAAATTAAAATCCATAGGGAAAATTTACAGTATGAGTTAATCAGGTAATTGGGATTTTATTACATTTTCTTGATCTTATTATTGTATTTAATTCAGTGATCTCCCTAAGTTCTCTTTAACAGAGTGCAAAACATACCAGAACCATATTTTTACTTAGGTTTTGGTCATGGGCAGCTCTTGAAACCTCATGCTTTGGTCAATACACTGTATATCTCAATATTTCATCATTTTTGACAGGATGCAAACAGGTTTTCAATAGGGTGGCATGTAATTTCAAATTTTCAATGAGATTCAGCAGTTAGCACCCTAAATGCTCACCCTAGATGGTGGAGATCACTTTTCATTCAAAACTGAATTATTTGTGAAAAAATCTGAAAAATAATAATCTTGTTTTTTACAATGGAGCCACCGAGAGACATCTATACTCAATAATATAAAACAAAAGATCTGTTTGTATAGGTAAAATTAGATTTTATTCTCACCATTCATACACTATTTATAAGGCAGTTCCATGCAATTCATTTATCGGCAATCAATGGCATACACAATCCTAACAAAACATTTACCCAAAGACTGTCATTATATTCAATATAATTAGCATGATAAATTAATATGATAAATAAATACATTACATGTCGGTAGGTAGCTCTAAAACCAAGGCAAGCAAAATGGAGAGGCAAGGAAAATAATAAAAGGCAAACCTTTCTATAAAACATCCATTCTGATTTTGCAGATCACAGTTCAATATAAATAAATTCTATACAGCTACTCTCAGTGATAAGAAAATTGGAGATGTATGACTATACCTCTTTAATATATACATTCAGATCGGGAAGGGGAATTTCTTGGTCAATTAATAATAGCATTAATTATGTGAATCCATAGGTGTTCACTGTGTACAGGTTTTACTGTACTAGTAACATATATTACAATGGAGTTGAAGTACATGCTATTAAAGTATTCCATGCACCAGAAATACTATCAGAAGTATTCTATGACAATTGTGTTACATGTAATCATAAATAATGTAACATGTAATAATTCTCTGAGTGAACAATGTCTAATCAGTAACACAGCTGTTATTCACAATAAACAACATCCAATTTACAACAGTGATTTCTCCTTAATTATTCACCAGAAATTGTCCATAAATGAATAATACATGTATATATAATTTGTCAAGGTATTTAGATAGTTTTATAAAAACTATACTTATTCTAGCTTATCCAGTGTAATACATAAATGACTGCACATTTCCCACAACCAACTCTTCTTCAGAATTAGAAGCTAATCAAAATTCAAATTTTTATCATCTTCAAGATTTCTTACTTAAAGGCCCCATATGAAGTTTAAACCAGCTTGGCTTATATATAAAGTTTGACCCAATGTTATCAAAGGAATACAAACTGAATTAGGGAAAAAAGATTGGTAAAAAGCATACTGCTGAATTAACACTTAGTATTTTAATTTTAAAAGTATAAATGTTAGCCAATTCAATAATAGCTACTAATCCAATATTAGCTATTGATTCAATATCAGCTGCTAATTCAGGATTAGCTTCCAATTCTGAGTAAATCCTCCTGGCCGGCGTTTTATTATTGTTTCCTCATGAATCCAGCCATGGGGGGTGGTCCAACAGGCCCTGAGGCAGCCTGGGGGGTGAAACTACTGTCCAGAGGGGGTCCTCCCATATTAAATGATGAATCAAAGTTCGTGGAGGGTGTGAACCCCTGGGCTTGAGACATTGGAGGTGGTCCTGAAACACCAGATATTGGGGGCCCCTGTGGGGGACCTCCAGACATTGGGTATGCACCTGGTCCTATAGGAGGTGGCCCTGTTTTCTTTGAAGTGTCACTACCAGGCTTTATTGGTGATATACCTTTCAGTGCATAAGTCTCTTTCAGTATCATCAGCACCGTGTCTTCAGATTCCCTGCAATTACAAACAGAACATTTATTGTATGTTTTAATGATACAATGTGCCAAATCATTGTACATTTGAAATATAAACATTTGGATGTTCAGAGATGCATAGGCAGGAACAAGGTTTGCAAATTCATTCATAGAAATATTCACTCCCAAGGGTTTCAGCAGAAACAAGTAGAATTTCATTTTGCTTGGCCTCAATTTGCCTAGTCTGCATCAAAATCCTGGCTATGCCACTGAAGATATAATAGACACTAGAGCATAATGTGTTTAAAATATCAACAAAGTGTACATTTATTTTATGTTTGATATGCCTATGTACCATATACTCTTTAACATTGCAACCAAGCTTTAATACAATCTCTTTACAAACTAGCATATAAGGTTTATGACACATTATAATTTATTTTAGAACTTGGTTTCGAATACCATAAAGCTTTATTTTTGTTTTATAAGAATACAGGATTCAGTAAAATCCAGTTCATACTACCATGCACGTGATCAAAGTTTAAACTTAATTCAGAAATTCAACCTCAAGTCAGAACCACATTATATGCAAGCACCCATACAAAGTCAATACCATATACAGCCAAAGCCTTGGATTAAACCCCACCAGAAAACTAGGGATGAATCAAATCTATTGTAAAATCCAGCTGCTGTTCGAGAACAACATTAGGGGTATTCACCAAGGAGGGGATAACAAGACCACTAACTACACATGCGACAAGACCAAATTCTACCAGTGCCAAAAAATGAAGATCATTTTACAATTTCCATTTAACAACCAGAGGACATTGTAGGATCAGGCTTATTTATGGCTGAGTAATGACAAATCATGAATTTCATAAAAAATCACATTCAATGCCAAAATAAATTGGCCATTATATTTTTCAGTCAGTTGTACTGTATTATCTTGTTCCCCAACCCTTTATCATCTTGAAACATTGAGGATCTAAACAAAACAAATATAGAAGGATAACCACCCTTAACCAGGATTTGAAAACAGGGAAATTGACCATACCAGTAAAATCCATTCTGCCTGTTTATGTGATTGTAGTATTGGAAATATGTATTATATATTAACTTGTCAATTATCCGGCCCAGTATTAAAATCTAATATATAAATCAAAGTTCAAAATTCTTTCAGTCTAGAGTCAAAGTCACAAAGTTTTTGATTAAGATACTGACCTAGAATTGTGAATTTCTAATGTCTTAATTTTCCTTTTTTGAAGCAAGCAAAGACAAACAACTATGTATATGATTTTGAATTTCATCAAATTGCTTCAGAACATAATAATAACATATAATGTGCCTCATCTCCCCCCCCCCCATATCCTCCCTCCTAGCCCTATTATAATATTACACCCAACTTACCAGTAACAACCATGGCTGCCTAAGGCAAACAGGTAATCATTGAAGCTCTCTATTGGTTTCTCCTGTAGTACATAATCTACACGTCTGCCCCCCTGGTTCAGACTCCCTATTGGCACCTCATCTTCATTGATACTGGAAGCTATGGCTGGAATCAATTTTGGCATTATTTTGTTATTACAATTTTCTTTTGTTTATAGTCAGCGATTAGAATGTGCATAAGATACAATTGCCATGGTTAATAAATGAACACTAATATCAATTGTAATTCTCTAAATGCTCACTATAATACTTAAACTGAAAGTTGGAATTTCATATCAGCCAAATAGTTCTGATTTGCAAGATTTACTTTTGTAGAAATAAATCTCTCATCGATATTAGAATACAATATCAGGAATCTTGCAGCTATACTAGTTTTTGCCTTGTTGATACGCATTAAAATCATTTCCAACTCTCACTTTAGACATACTTTTCAAAATATAGAATCATATAGGATCCAGAAACTCTGATTTCATACTATCTTCACTTGGTTACTTACAGCTAGTTTCTGCCTGGTCCACCTCAGCCTCCAGGCTCTGCATGACTTCATTCACCTCAGACTCAACCTGTTCCTCTGATCTATGAGCCTTAGCAAAGTCACTGAGAGTGTTCCAGCCCTTACGTATTGACTCCATGAACTTTTGTTTGATATCTGACCCCATACGTGCTAAACTCTCCTTTAGTTCTGAAATAGGCACCCATTTATAAAATATTACTAAAATGTTCTGGTCTGCCTTTGAGAGTTCTAAATTATAATTCTGGTTTTAATTCTGAAAAAATATTTACACCAATGAATGAAGAAATCTAATTGAGGTGTTCTCATGTGTTTTTGAGATTCCTTTTGATTGTTTTTGCTTCTAGAATACGAGAAATATCAAACTGATCAATATTTTAAAATACTCAAATGGGTGCAAACTGTTGTTCAGCTTGGTGCAAGTTATTTTCAAATTCTCAACTGGGTGCAAATAATTGAATATTACAGCTATACATACCTAAATGTAGCCGTTTTCTTCCTTTATGATGCTGCATTTGGATTGGTTTTAAATTAAATTCAGGGTTTATTAAAGGTTCCATTCTATAGGCCTGAAATAAAAAGAGAAATATGCAACGTTATCTGAACCATTTCTCGTCAATGCATTCTCGTACTACATCAATTTAATTAATATGCTATTAGTATTATTAGAGCTGGCATCGAATAGGATTTTAATGTCGACATATCGGAGCTCTCGATCGACAACGATATCGACATTGTCGGGTCCAATGATATTCGAAAAATGAAAAAGATTTTGAAGAAAATCTGTCTGAATTTTAGATTTTCTAGGCTTGTAATTAGCAATACGATGCACAATAGTCATCCTCAGTTGTATGTTTTATATTTAACTTACAGGTAAACCATGTTCAAGTATCAGACTTTGACGAAAAAGCAATAAATAGACATAAAACTATGATTTCTGTTGTTATTTCCGGGCAGCCATTGAAAATAAATCTCGAGGGTAAATCTCGAGGGGCCCCCGAGACCAAATTCGAGAGCAGGAAGTCGATCAAAACAAAAAAGAAAATTTGAAAATGTAGGCGGTAAAACTTCACTAAAATACACCATACAGCAGGTAGTAACAAAGATTTTAATTCATAGGGAAATAGCTTATTATGTCGTGAGTTCCGACTGTCGATCAAGAGGCGTTGTGTCGACATGGGTGTCGCAGAGAGCATTCGACTGACAATCGACCATTCCGACATTTGATGCCAGCTCTAAATACTATTACCATCCTTGGTAGAAACATTCAATAAGCAATCTACACTCTAAATCTTGACAAGTAAAACTTTCCATACTACCCTTAATAATGCAAACAAATTATGTTGTATCAATGACTCTCATATGAATATACTATTATATTGCTCAGCATTGGAGGGAGCAAAATGAACAAAAAAACAACAGGCAAAATTACTGGAAATTAACATTTTAACATTGGAAAGTTTACAAAATCCCTAATAAAAACAGGCAATATTGGTAAAAGCAAATGGTGAAAGTAAATAAATATACTCCTGAGTATGTACTGATACTTACTATGGGATCAAATGGATGAAATATATTGAAGAAACCTGGACAAGTAGGAAACCTGAACTCTTCTCCCAATGTCTCTGTACCCCTCACTGTCATGAACATCGCAGTCGGGGACCCAAGAGCGAAGAAATTTGAGGGGGTGAAATCCAGCTGGTTGTATTGCACAAATGGTGAACCTATGCCCTGCACTCCTGTCATGTAGTCTATTGAGAGACTGGATGCTTTACTGAGTAAGGGGTCTCTGTAAAAAATACACATATTATAATTATATTGGTCTCTATAAGGTCTCTCTTATAATCTGCAAAGTGGAACACCTCTGTTAATGGAACACTTTTCAGAGTCCCAACTGACTAAATATTAAATGAACCTCTATAAGTGGAACACCTAAGTGGAATACTTTTTAGATGTACCAAAGGTGTTCCACTTAGGCAGGTTTGACTGTTATCATATTGGAGCTAAGTTGCTTGTATTACAGAAAATGTGAACAAATATTATACAAATTATGTACATCAATATATATATATATATTGTAAAGTACTATGTATTATACAGTATACCAGTAATATTACAATACATTGCATTAATTATCTTATTGTAGAGTAACTTAATTTATGCTGATGTCATGCAAAAATATGTACATTCATTGAAAGTCTAGCTTATCCAGACAAAAATGTGACCATTGAACAAAACCATTCATTACTTTGATTCACATCATGAGAGCTAGATCAAATGTCACCACCTGTCATTTGTTACAGATGCCGAACACCAACTGGTGAATGCCAAACATCAACTCCCCAACATCATCCACAAGAGTTGGAGACCATAACAATATGTTACCACTTGTGGAGGTAACAAAAAATGCTTTAAAGCTTAGATCTCAAATTAAAAGATGCCATATGAGTAGACATTTGATTCTTGAATTGAACAAACCATCCCTTCATTATTGAAATGTTATTCCAAAAGGCGGGTTGCATTTTTGTGTCACCCTGCACACTGAACATACATATCGGGTGTCCCAAAAAAATGAGCCACTTTTTGACAAATATTATCTCGGCAACTGATGAACAAAATTCTTGATCTTTTTTATATTTTTACATGCTAATAATACTCTTAGGCTACTTTGTACAAATTTTCAGTTAATTTGGTTTATCAGTTGTCGAGATAATACTTGTCAAAAAGTGGCTCATTTTTTGGGAAACCTGATATGTAGCATGTTATTTGAATGCAGTAAATCAGATTCAGATAGACTCATGCAGTGGATGAAATAAATATTTGACAGGCTACTAAACCATAAATACGCATTGTTTAAAAATAAGGTTTAAAGTTTAAACCCTAAAAATTATATTTGAAGCCTGTTATATACAATATAGCAACATTAACAATATAGCAACATTAACATCCCCATGAAGCCTTGCTTTATTCACTAATTTATTTATTTGAGAAGCTACACATTTCAAAGGAATGGCTCTGTGGGTATAACTTTGCTACACAAAAATAATTCTTATACACATGTAAATGTGAAAATGTTAAAGAATCATTAAAGCAAGATTTAGATAAAGAGACAAGCAATGACTTATTCTAGCGTAACATAACTAAATTTTTGTTTACATGTATGTTACCTGTTGATATGCTTTTGAAGGTATGATGCTGCCTTCCTATTATGAATAAATAAAAAGTTTTCCAGATAACTTATCATAGATCACAGAATTATTCAGAAATTGTCTTTGAGTTATACTTGTACATATGTATTTGTAAAGTGTTATTCTGAAACCCAATTAATAAGTGAATATTGATAAGTCAAATGTTCAATAAACAGTCCAGCTAAAAGCCCTTGTGAGCCCTCCCCCCCACTACACACCTCCCCTCCCCCCACTACACACCTCCCCTCCCCCACTACACACCTCCCCTCCCCCATTACACACCTCCCCTCCTCCCACTACCCACCTCCCCTCCCCCCACTACACACCTCCCCTCCCCTAGCCAGTGATTACTGACCTTGTATGAGAAGGTGTGTAGTCAAGTAGTGGGAGATAGGGGCTTGTAGCTAGACTAATCAATAAACGACATTTGATAACTTACGTCATTTGTGATTTCTGCAACTCAAGCTGTTGTTGTTGTTCTATGGCTGCCAGCTCTTTGCGTTGTCTTTCTTCCTCCCTTTTTGCCCGTTCCTCCAGTAACATGGCCCTTCTCTCAGCTGCTAGTCTTTTCTTCTCCTGGAACACATGGTAGCACATGAGAAACATGACATAGTGTAGATGAGAAACATGTCATAGTGTAGATGAGAAACATGTCAAAGTGTACATGAGAATCATGTCATAGTGTACATTAGAAACATTACATCATGTACTCAAGTACACAAAAAAACGTGTCATAGCGTACATGAGAAACATACCTTCATTGAATGAGAAACATGTCAAAGCGTACATGAGAAACATGTCACAGTGAACATGAGAAACTTGTCATAGTGTACATGATAAACATATCTTCATGTACATGTAAAATGTGTCATAGTGTACATGAGAAACGTGTCATAGTGTAGATGAGAAACATGTCACAGTGTACAAGAGAAACGAGTCATAGTGTACATGAGAAACATGTCATAGTGTACATGAGAAACGTGTAATTGTGTAAATGAGAAATGAGTCATAGTGTACATGAGAAACGTGTCATAGTGTACATGAGAAACGTGTCATAGCGTGAGAAACGTGTCATAGTGTACATGAGAAACATGTCATAGTGTACATGAGAAACATATCTTCATGTACATGAGATTATTTAGAAACATGTAATGTTGTGGTATATAATAAAGTAAAATGGGATCATTATAGGAGACACTGGTAAAGTTAAGTTTCCTTAATAAACTATTGTGTCCATGAAAATTATGGCATCATAGATAGAGACAAAAAAACTATGGAATTTTATCTCGGCCAAATATTCTAGTAATGACCCCTTGGCATGCTGAATGTACATGTAGCAGACAATCTACATTTATAGAAAAGCCAGGGAAATAAGTATTCATTGAAGGCCCCTAGAGTACTTATCCTAATTCGAGCAAATTCAAGTCATTGATGATTGGTTTGTTATTAAACTGCTTTAAAAATCAGCAAAAAAGCAAGCTAACACTCAAGTATTACGCAAAATTCCAATAAAAGCTCTGAACATGAACTAAACTATAAACTAAAGCTTAAACATAACAAGACATAATGCTCTTTAATGTACATTTTATAGTATGTGTAACTTTGTAACTTCTCAGACAAAAAGACACACATGTTAACCCCCTCCCAAAGATATAGTACTGTACAGGGTGATCAATAAATAAGGTAAAAGTATCTGGCATTTTGTAAATATTGGTCCAAACATCCTGAAATTTGGTCAGAATATACCTTGTACATTTCTAAATTAAAACATATAAATATATAACTTCTGTCATCTGATTGGTTAATATTATAGTTACTATGGCAACTGGAGTCGGGGGTACCCGGGGCAATTTCATTGCGTCCAGTTTGAACAAAAATGATAAAAAGTACATATTTTTCAAACTGAAAAGAAATAAACGTGGGTGCCAGCATTAATTGTTTTAATACTTTGTTTACATTGTTACATATTTTCTTGCAAATTTGATGTTTGATGTCACGGAAAAGATTAATATGTAATGAAAACTGATGTGATCATAGAAAGTCTATGACACAGGTCAATGATGAAAAACAATACCCACAGAAGAGATTTGATGAGAGAAAAGAGGAAGAAGCTACTAAGACTAAGAGGCCTGCAAAACGTTTTACATTGCACTGGGAAAATGCTCCGTCTAACAATTCTATTCTCAAGGTACAAACCAGGTCATGTACTATACTCTCCTGACTTGTCGACTTATGATTTTACCGTCATGGTAAGCTGAAGAGGGAGTTGAGAGAGTTTCTCATGGGATGACTTGAAGCCAGCTGTCTATGCAGGCTATGTGAAAAATTGGTTTAAAAGGTGTTCAATGACTGGAGTAGAAGACATGAACTATATGTTAAAAACAAAGGACATTAAGTAGCAGTTATGAAGTATGAAATAAGAATATGATATGCCATTTTAATTGTAATTTGAAATATATTATCAAAAGTGTTTCGACTGAAAATTTAGTTCTTTGATAGTTGCCCCGGGTCTTCATGCTTTCTGTTGCTATGGCAACCATAACTTCAACCAATCACATCACTTTGATCTGTAACTTAGCATATCAATTCAATAATGTTTGATCATTATTCTGTGCAAATTCCATGAGGATTGGGTAAAATCTGAAGAAATGGCAGATACTTTTACCTTATTTATTGATCACCCTGTATATGTGTATTTTAGTACACTAAGAAAATGAGGCTAAAATAAGTGATCACCTCTTTATGTTTCAGGTCTCTCATAAAGCCCTGGAGTTTCTTCCTAGGCCCCATAGGTATTCCCATCTCCTTGATGTCTGACTCTTCACACATTATCTATGAACAAACACATGCAACAAGGTTAGAAAAGAAACATGTAGTTGTCACATATTACTTGCAGTGGTTTCATTAGCAGAAGGCCATAGGCGATTTTCACTGGCAGAGTTTATCAAAATCACCAGTTGTTTTGAAAAATCTCGCAACTGATTGTTAGAAGTTATTATGGTTTCCAATGATTTTTTCAGTTGTTTTCATTTGTCAGAAATTCTAATGAAACTCCTAATTTGCTTCCAAATATATGCGTATAAGCCTAATAAAAGAAAATCTAATTCAAAATGTATTTCACATTTAGCAAAGCAAAATGCAACAATGTTAATATAACATGCATGATTCATTTAAAATATTTCTATGTTAAAAATAAGGGAGGGTCAAAACATCAACTCAAGATAATAAAATTGGGTTTTAACTTATTCCTTCTCATCCCAATTCCTCTCCAAAAGGATATCAAAAATGTTGGAATTTTTTTTTCGAGAAGGATTACCAAGAAATAACAGGATGATGTCAAAGAATACTTTTTGTTAACAACCAATTTTTCAACCTGCCCTGAGCTGTAATGAATATTTTCATATATTTTTCTAATAAAAAGCTTGACATACCAATGTTTCCATGTCTATTTTTTCTTTCTGGAATGCCTCTAAATAGTCTGACAGTCCCAGCTTTGCCAGTAACTCCTCTAAGGAGAGCTCTTTCTCATCCTCCTCTGCATTTGAAGATTCGTCAAGGTCAATATCATCTTTGGAAACCTTAAAATTAGAATAACTCAATTTTGTTTAATTTTGATATTTTTCTTCATTTTTTGGGGGTAAATACCTGAATTACCATAAACTGGAATCTTCCAAAACAGAATGGATGATATTAAAGCAAGAGACTATAGGTTATATTTAAATCGCTTTTAATAAGAAAATGGGACCATTTAAAATTCAAATACGACATGACCAAGCATTCAACCTACCTCCTGAACTTCTTGTGTTTCTTTAGGGGTCTCAACAGGATCTGCAACTACTGGTTCTGGTGCTAAGGGGTCTCTTTGATGAGCAAGCAGATCGAACAGGATCAGTGAACCTACATGTAAGGCAAATTACAACGTTTAAACCCTGACTGCTCAAATACACTTTTTATGCTTTTTGGGGACCTTTTACAACACCTTGAATTCACAGGTAATTCATGCATCTGTGTGATGCTTGTATTTTTCAATTCTAGGGAAATTTATACATAATGAACAATGAAATATTACATATTATTCCACAGTTAGCATGATATTCATAGGATAACATGTGAAAATAAAAACGGTATTTTTGTAATCAGTGGTAAAATATGATATTTTTGACAAATTTTCACTTAACCATAGCATACGGTTTTTTAGCCATGACATACGATGTCGTATGCGATGGTTTATGGATTTTTGCTACTTCAGACTCAAAACGAGGCTAAGTGTCAACATCGCCGGATCGTTTGGAAAATTCGAATTAAATGACTTAATTTCCGACGATTCTGATGATGACTTTAACTATGGAATAAAAAGAACATCCTATGATTTACTCGTGATATGATTTTAATCCACTCATGGTTATTGATATCTGCACTCTCTCGCTACGCTCGCTCGTGCAGATATCATATCCATTCGTGGATAAAAATCATATCACTCATAAATCATAGGATATCCTCTATTTATTATGTTGATTTGTTCTGCTAAAGATACTTCTCCTTATTTATAGTTTTATATTTAGAGTCTCACCTAGACTATGTCCTGCTAAAGACACTCCTCCTTTATAGTTTGAATTACGACTAGTAAATAGTTTATAGAGACGGCTGATCTCTGACGTTACAGTATCTGCAATTGTCTGAAAACAATACAAACATCTTAAAATAGTTACATAGCCTCCAAATCATAATTACATGGTTGAATTAATATTTGGTTTAACACAGGTGTTCTTATGTACGTTATAGTCTCCAACTCTTTTGTGGATGGCGTTCAGCAGTTGGTGTTAGGCATCTTTAACAAATGCCAAGCGGTGACATTTTGCATGTTAATCAAATTAAATGCCTTACGATCTTGTTTTTTAAAGTTATTTTATTTCCTGTTTGCTTAAAAGATTGTAGAATTACCTGAGATAGAATGTTGATTTAGGTGTAAAAGGTGTAAATAGCAGTGCATGTAAAAGGGTGCTTTAAGCCTAGATTACCTGGCAGTATGTTGGACTGGTGTAAAATAGAATATCTAGCAGTGTGTCATTTGTGAAGTGCCTCAACTTTGCTATGCTCCCCAGTGTTATAGCCTTCAACCTCCTAGAATAATAAAACAACTTTCGGTTATTCTCAGACTTTAAGACACGTTACAACTTCAACATATTTTTTTATAAAGGTGAATTAAGTGTCCGATTCTCTTGCATTTTATATAATTTAGTGCATTAACACCATTCCCATTCCACTCAACACTTTCCTCTAAATTTCCAATTTTAAAATGTGATCTGCCATGTGATTTTGCAGAGGAAGTGCATGGCCCATGTAACTCTTTATAATGAGAAGATAACCATATACTTTAATCTTTCAAATAAAGACACACTTTATTATAGAGAATGGCAGCGGGTTACAGGGGTTTCACAAGAATTTCTCACAGCAGGCTAAATAAATGAAAATAACAGGCAAAATTAATGGAAATCATAAATTGAACATGGAAAATTTGGAAAGTCAAACAACAGGCGATTTTGTGAAAACAACTGGTGAAAATTGCCTGTTGCCTGCTGCTAATGAAACCCATTTGGTAAACATTTGCATTACAAGCATGTGGCGGTGCAATATATTGTCTATGAATATTGTAGTAACTTACCTATCGACTCCGGTGGCATCACCATGTAAAGCTGCATGCCAATGAACAGGTATGAACTCAATGCGACTCAATTGGTTGTTCTCCTTATATGGTTTGAAGTGACTGTCTATTAACTGGAGGGAGATAGACCTAAAGTCATCAACTGGAATACAACAATGATTTTTCTGTGATCATTGACAGTTTAAACAATAAGAGGAATGGGAGCGAACTAAGTTAATTTTGTAAGGGGAGAGAGGTGATTTTTGAAGAATTCTGTGAAAGGCATATTAAAATTTTCAAATTAGAAATTATTTTGAATTTCAAAACTTCAATTCACTCTCATATTAATACACATATTATTGCGTATAGAACCAACCCACAGTGTTATAATTTCTTTGAAATACATGCTATGAGTCATTTTACCAGGTCACTCTGTAAGTAAACTATGTAATGAGATAATTTCTTAACTGATCCTACCTCCTTCTACAATAGAGCGTCCTCTAAGGTCACAGACTTGGCCTATACCATGTACTATGAAGATAACATGGTCTATATTGCGAGGCTCCCCTTCAGGAATGTCATCAAACTCTTCAATTCCACGTCTCACAACACGCGGCCTCATCATGTCACTCTGTAACACATAATATGTGAAATATGTGAAGCATATGTGAAATATGGGAAACAATTGTAATATGTGAAGTATATGTGAAACTAATATGTGAAGAATATGTTTTAATATGTGAAACAACTAAGTAATATGTGAAGTATATGCATAGTATGGGAAATCTTTTTTGTGTATGAAACATTTGTGTAATATGGAAAATAAATGTGTATTATGTGCAATTTATGAAATATGAGTTGAATGTGAAACATATGAGAAACAGGTGAAGTACATCTGTGAACATGTTTGTGAAATATATGAGCCGAGTGAAAGAAATGAGTAATACATATCGGGAATTTACATTGTGGTTGTACTATAATGCAGTTAAGAGGGTGGTTGCGTAAATGATGCCAACAATAACTTTTTTTTATTTTTTTATATGTGAAACTTTGTTCAATTCTAAGAAAAATGAGACCAAAAAAAATTAGGGTCACCGTGCTCGAATTTTTTTTACAGCCAAAACAAAATCATACCCAAAACACTAAAAATCACTCTTAGATATCCCCTAAATTGACCTTTTCATTGTATTTCAATGGGAAAAATAATGTATTTTCTCCCCTATAATAACATTAAATAATAGTAATTTCCCAACAATAACTTTTTTTTATATTTCATTAATTTAAACTTCGTTCAATTGTTAAAATAATGACCCGAAAAAAATATGGGGTCACCGAGCTAATTTTTTTTCTACAGCCAAATCAAAACCATACCCCCAAAACACTAAAATCACTCTTAACATGTCCGTTAATTGCCCTTTCTATTGTAGGTAGTCTAAATGATGGCCCAAAAGTGCTAGGAAAGCAATTATAAATGTACACTTATGACATAGGGCTATGGATAAATTTGGTACCGTTGGAAAGCTCATAGTGCTAACTTTGGGATTCACTTGTTAAAAATTATGAAATGTGGACCTTAAGTGCCCAAATGCTCGTTTCCATAGTAACCACAAAAATAATGACAAGAACGTGTTTTTTACACATAACTCCCCCAATATTTCTTCGATTTTGATAAAATTTATATCATATTAAAGATAAAATAGAGCTCAATTTTTCAAAATTACATTTATGCAAATTAGCTCATTTGCATATTGATTGTGACGTCATAACTGAATTATTTTGTATTTTTAAATAGACGAGTATATTTTGTATTTCAATGAGAAAATCACCATACTGAACAGCAATTTAGAGTTCTTTCCAACTAATACTTTATTATGTTAAAATTTTCATTCATTTCTTCAAAAATGACACCGAAAAATATAAAGTTTATTTTGAAGTAAAAATACAGCATAATTTATGCATATAGTCAATATACCCTTTCCAACCAATACGTCCAGTCCCTTATTGTCTAAATTGCCCGAATTGGCTATAGTTCCATGATCATTAAGTATCAATATTATTCTTTTGGAAAGTTTCATCATTGTAATACTATTATTAAAAACAAATGAATATTGTTATTGATGTGGAGCTTAGGCATTGTCCCAATAATCTGTTGCTATGACAACCAATAGTTATGTCTATTTACATTGTGTACATGCAGGCCCATAGCCAGTGGTTCGTTGGGTTTGAGTAAATCCCCTGGCCAAAAATGTTCACCATTCTGAGCATTTTTCAAGTGGTTTTTGTCATTTTTGGGCCAAAATGGTCAAATGTGAACCCCCTGGAATTTTTTGATTTTTTTTAGCAAAAGCAGGCTATAGGCATGACATGTATAATAAAATCATGTACGTGACAAAATATGCATAAAATATAGATTTATTTTCATCAGAATAACTACATACCACTTTTTTAAAATCCCGAAAATGAATAAAGTGTTCTGTAGTTCATAATTAAGTATTTGTAAATATGGATTTATGGATACCCTGTACATAGCTACATGTGTTTAGGAATGGTGTTTACAGGGAACATATTCTCTTGAGCTGTTGAGAGATATTGTCATTAAATCAGTTGCTGTTCTTTTTGTTCTTTTTGTTCTGTGTCCATTGTTATATATTATGAATGCCATAAATACCATAAATCCAAAGATAGACAGAGAAAATTAAATAAAGTCAATGTGCTCAGCAAGTTCCACTTCTGCCATGGACTCGTTTGTCAAACTCATTATTGCCTCGCTGGTCATATCCTGTCATCTGTAGCATGTGCTTACATACACTCTAAGAGGGCTGAGTCATACAAGAAGACCCAAAGACCAATAATGTGGATCATACCTGAAATTGAATATCACACAAAAGTAACAAATTGCAGGTATCACTATGATATAAAAGAAATATGAATGCAGTTACTTCATTCAAGCATAACATTATCCAAAGGACGATTCTCGGTTTGGAGAACAGTGTCCTGGGCTAATAATTTTTTTCATGAAAAATATAGAAATATTACCCAAATTAAACTATGAATATTCAAAAGAGGACATTTAAATCTACAAGATGTGAAAATAAAAAATTGGTCTAAAGCAAGGATAACGCTCAATTAGACCGATTCCATAAAATACAAGTCTCGATTTGGGGAAACAAGTTCATCAGTGTACTGCGCTAATTTTTTTTGCAAAAAATCTAGAAATATTACCCAAATTAAATTAGGATTATCCAAAAGAAGACATTCAGATCTATATTATGTAAAAAAATCAGATTTGTCCGAAGCAGGGATAGTGCTCATTTAGATGGATGAACTTCGTTCTCCAAACCGAGAATCGTCCTTTATAGTTACATAGTATTGGAATTCCAATCATGGTATAAAAAATTGTAATCAGGACCAAATTATGAAGGCCTATGTGTAGTTTTCTTTTTGAATTAGGCAAGAAAGTTATCATTACTTAATTAGATGCAAACATTTTACTTATAATCTTATTTTGATAATAAAAATGATGAGTTAATCCCATACAGCAAAACCTGTATATCTGAACACCTAGCTGATCCAAATACCTTCAAATGCTAACACAATTTCTGGCTCCATTTTTCCTCCCATTGACTTGACTCCCATGTTAAAAACCTTGAAATCTGACAACATCCTAATTCCAACAGTGGACACTCATATTTGAAAATTTAACATGTGTTAATTGAACACTTTCCACAATTTTTACAAAACTGTTCAAATATTTTAAATTTAAGACTAATTTGATATGAAATTCTGAAAAATATGAAATGGCCTCAGAATTTTGATGCCATGAAGCCAAATGCTCAATAGAAATATTAATATTCATTGAGAATGCATTAAAATCCACAATCTTGCGGATAGAGAAACCGAAATCAATACTTCTCCCCATCCGAATGCTTTCTGACCATTCTCAATGATGTTCAGATTGGACAGATTTTCCTGTATATTACTTGTTCTCTTACCTCTTACATTCTGTACCTCTAGCTAATTTTGTATAATGTCAAATGACTGTTAGTCAGGTGTAACGTACATCCACTGAAGCCAACTTTCTGGGCACCCAAGACATCTTTGGAGACAAGGCCTGCAGAACATAAATTAATATGTTGTAAATTTACATATCTACAGGGTGGGCCAATAACAATTAGAAAATTTTTCCATTTCTTCAATTTTCTTTATTATTGCAGCTCAATCAACAAAAATTCAGATAGCTGTAAAATGATTACTGGTGAACATGTTAAATTTAAAAATGTGTATGTATTTATTTTTGGCTTGTCAATTGATCATGATCTGTATTCTACATGCAGACATGTGTCATGACGAATTTCAAATTTTCTCAGCTTGAGCCATCACTGCTGAAATCATCTTTTTAACATACAATATGTGCCCTGCAAATGGTCTCACCACACTTTTCATCAATTAAAACATATGTTGTTATCTCTAGAAGTTAACCATCTCTCCCTTGGATAATATAGCTTACTGACCTCAGCTTTTCTTCAAAACTGGCATAATATGTCTCAGACTGATTGTTCAGGTGGATAGAGAGGATGTGTTCAGGAAATCCCCGAAGTGAGTAATTAAAGCTTGAGCTTGTATATTCAATAATTATATTTACACAATATTGACAATGAATTATTTTTTCAATTTCCTAAAGTATTGAAGATAATACATGACTAAAAGTTACAATGGATTTTTTGGCCCACCTTGTATATAATCTATTTATTACAAAAACAACTAGACTTGAAGTTATTTTAGTACCAGCTGGAAAGATCACTTGATACCATACATCAAAGTATCCATGCCATTTTGATACTTATTGCATCTTTCTGTTTAGCCAGAAACATGATATTTTGAGGCATATTGTGATCTGGGCTCAAGCGAATGGGAATTGAGTTACACCTGTCTATTCATTTATTGTATTCTGTAGTCATTGCCTACACAGGCAAATGTGATATAACATCTATCTATATGACTTGAACAATATATTACATGTCATTTATACAATTACCTGTACTCAAAAACTTCCAGGTCATTTGACTGGACAAGTATGTATGGCCTATGTCGACAATGACGTGACAGTCATCTGAAGGATCTAACTGCATTGCATGATCATTTATCATTAATCATAATAACTTCCTCAACCTCCCAATCATTTTGACGCAACTGTTAGTGGTCCATAAAACCGTTGTTTGTTGTTTTGGGTAACTTGTCATCTGAAATACATGGAAAAGTTTGAAAGTATATCAAGAATAAAATGAAACTTGAGACGTCATATGATGTTCTATGATATCTAATACCGATACAGTAAACATAAATGTACAATTTCAACTATACTGCAGTACAGCACATGTACAGTACATGTACGTGTAGCATGTTTATCCGTACCCTAGTTCAACGCCGGGGCCATAAGACATGCCAGATAAGAAACCAGGCCCCAGGCTAGGTCTAATGTTGTTGGACTATCCGTGCCCAAATATTTATTGATGATAACTGCATGTGATTGTTAATACATGTACACGAAACATGTACATGTAATTTTCCATTACAAAATTATCTTTTTGCCCACATCAAAATGTACTTTTACTGCGATAGGCAGTCAAATATAGTTAACATTTCATTTAAGATGTCCCGACTCTGCCCGCATGGGAGGTCTCTGGGACATGAAAACCTGTTGAGTTTGAACATGGGCTTTGTAAGATCAAGGTCATGACGAATCGATCACCCAAAATAAATTCATATGTAATTTTAAGAAGAATTTCAGTGATTATATGCATACGATCACAGAATAATCCATTGTATTTATATATAACACTACCATCTACTATTAACATACCAAATTATTACATTAAATACTAAATTTCAAGGGAATTTATGAGAATTTTCAAATCAATATTACGCAAATGACAATTCCCGATCGAGAACCAGGAAGCGATTTCTACCTTTAAATATGGTGATTTTGATCGATTACAAAAGGAAAATGATATTGAATTCGATACTTCTTACCTTCATAAACAGTTGTTATGATGTTTAATGCTACGATTCTCCACTGTTTGCCCGATTGAGACTGAAATCGTCCCGTCATCAGTGCAGCATCTTGTTTCTAGGTGGGCGATAATTGGTGAGGAGTTTCAGAGACGTTCAAAAATTACGACAATAGAGTGTCTTATTTTCCCGTGCAACTAATTCTCTCACCAAAAATAAATATTATAAAGCCATTTTCATTCATTTTGAACATACGTTTTATTTATTTGAGTAATATACATTAAAATAAAAAAATCACGGCATCGAAACCGAAACCGAAAGTTAGATGCGCGAGAATGATGCGCACTCGTCCATCGGCTTTAGGAAACCACCCTCTTAATATATTGTAATGAGTGTGCCATTTACTTACAGCTGTTGTGCCCCATTCATCAGGCTGGGCAGATGCTCTGAAGTGGACTATAACATTGGGGTTGTGCATCACTATGGTCTCTCCCCCAGGGAACTCTAGTCTTTTGTGCCAGACATTGTTTGTGATTGCATTCTTGTACTCTTCCTGCAATAAACACGTAAAGTAAAAAATTAGTATATAGATATTGCTAAAATGTGAGGTGTCAGCCATCTTATGCAAACCTACTTGATGGCTTTCCCAGTATTGTCGTAAGTGAATGTGTTCAGCACTGATGTCTGGTAACCAGATGAGAATCCTTTTGAAAACAGATTATTGAAATCTTAAAGTATTTCGGATACTTTAATTCTAAACTTAAATTTTGGAAAAGATAGAAAATAAGTCTGTTTGGGGAAAATCTCATAAATCTATGATGGATTTATTACAATTTTGCACTCGGTTTATTACAAAAGGATTTTCTTACCTCTAATTTATCTGAGAAACTTTCATCATATGGTACAAAACGATTATCTCGCTCCCGCTTAAAAAACCAGGAGCATCGACGCACTTCAGTTGGATTTTCCTCCCAATAGATGGCCTTCCTCTGTCTGGCCTGAAGGTCAACATCATACCGACCTCCATCTGTGGGAATCACAAAACCACCTGTGCTTGCTTCATCTGAAAGTAAAAAGTTACAAAATCTCAAAATATTGTAACACAAAAATGGATAATTGTATTGTTTGGATGGCCTAAATTATCAGCATGGATGCCAAAATGGATATAAGCTCAGACAATAGGCAGTTTCCATTTTTTGAAAATTGCTGAAGGTATATGTTTTACTTATATCTTGTATAGACTTACCACTATAAATAAAAAATAAAAACAAACAAACAAACATATATCAATACCTATTTCAAACAGTGACGATCTATTCCAAAAACTTTTTGAAATACCATATAACCTTTCAAAGCACAAACATGAAACATGAGTTTGATATTGCTTTCCCCTACATTAGGAATATTATCATTACTCATATGAGAATTTCATTTTAGACAGTGTCTAAAACTTAATATAACAGAGTATAACAAGGTACAAAATTAAAAAATGTACCCAGCTTGCTCAAAATCGAATTATTTCTATTATATATTTCATGAGAAAATATCCTTGTAAATTTCTGATCAGTTCATCTTTACTTCAAATGAGCAGACAAGAAAAGTGACATTCCGCCACCTGCCTATCAAATTAACAACAATAAACCGTAAAATTGTATCTTTATCAGGTATGATAAAACTATGACTTACCTGATCTATAAGCATCCTCTAGTTTTTGATTGTCAATATTGGAGAATGGAAACCACATTGTTGTGAGCTCAATGTGCTTAGAATAGAACCAATGGAACTTAATTGGATTATAAATTCCTGGCTGTTCCCCAGGTACTCCTCCAGGATTAATTGGTGGTTGTGAATAATCTGGCTGCTGGCTCTGTGATGTTGGGGCTCCAGTGGGAAATTCTGGAGGACTAGTACTCGGGGGATATATTGAAGATGTGGAACTAGGAGGGGGAAGCATACCCCCAGGTCCTGGTACAGGAGGGTAGCCCAAGGCAGGGGGCAAGCCTGAGGGTGGTGGCAAGGTGCCTGGGCCTGGAGGAGCATGCATGGTGGAGGAAGTAGCTACCTCAGGAGCAGAGATATACTTCCTGGGCCCAGAGAGCGGATTTCTTCGACCCGATGGGGTACCACCCATAGGAGGACCTGAAATATAAAAGTTAAATATCAAATAAATATAAGTGCCTTTTCATATCATTCATGCTGAAAGATTTTTTTATTTAAAACAAGACTTCTTCGTGAAAAGTCACGTGAATTCCGGCTTTTGCTCGGTCATCTCGGCATCTCGGCTCCAAACCCAATCAGATGTTTCAATTTTGAGTGACAATGCATATTAATTCTCAAGTCTCGCCCAATATATTTATGTATACGTTAAACAAATTCAAACCTTCAAAAAATCTGTGTTAAAAACAAGGAAGTGTGGGTGAAATAGATAACACGTAGAATTGCAGATTTAAATGTAAAACTTTCAACAGTTGCCATAGTAACATTAATTAACACAAAACAACTTATTGAAGCAAAAGTGCTACAGTACCTGATATCTGTCTGTCTACATGCTAAATATCTCAATCCAGTTACTTGTTTTTCTTTTACTTTTGTTACTATGGTACATTTTCATGAAAGTGACATCATAAATGTTTATTGTGTGCATTATGTGTAATGTTACAATAGCAACTAATGAATGGAAAAGCTGAAGATACCTAGCAGATGAAATCATACTATTTCCTACTCATTTAGTTTACTTACCAATCGTGACAGGATAAAGCTATCATATAATGGGGTTTAACTAATAAAGCAGTGGAATTTATGTTTATGTTTTGATTGTTTCATTTAAGAATCGTCTCATTAAATCAATTTTTGATTACAATCATTTGCAATTACCTCCTGTGGGGAATCCAGGAGTAGCTCCCCCAGCACTGGATAGGGGTGCCTGCATAGGGATCTGTGGGGTGAAGGTAGAACTTGGAGTTACTCCGACTTCGCCAAAGGGATCAGCTGCTCCAGAATTTGGTGTACCAAACATGCTGTAGGGTGCAGGGGATGGTGCATTAGAATCGGGTGGAGTTTGTCCGACAAAGCTGTCAGCTTCACCTTCCAAATCTGAATTACATAGGAAACTTACATTATTCAATTAAGTATTCTTGTACAATGTAGGTAATTGACAATGCTAGTTTTGGTAATGAATCTTATACTAAGGTGTAATAGGCTTTTAACAAAGATGGAATTGTAGAGAGTTGAGATACTCAGTATGAGCTCATATCTGTTATATCTCATCTTTTGATGAGTCCTTCTTTATAATATGCCTTTACTCAATAATCAATGGACACCCTGCTCCAAGCACTCCCATAGATGTGAACATATCTCTTATTTCTGCGATCGTGAAAATCACAAGTGAAAAATATAAAATCATGCTAAAAATTAAAAACAGAATGAATGTCCTCTACCCATTATTTTGAAAAATCTGTTATGATTAGCCAAATTAGTTTATTTTTGAGGTAAAAAAATCCAAAAACACTGGGTGGTTTCTTAATCGTGTCTTAGGCCTAAAGTATCAGTTATAACTAGAAAATGGCAACTCCACGGAGTAGCAAATCCCAACGAACACTATATAAATCATCAATCTGCACAGTCACAATGTAATATTTACCATCTACTCTTACCTTCAATAAATATTTTAAATCATTGAAGTATCATGTAACCATACTTTCAAGATAACTCTAAGTAATGGCGAATATCTGCTCTAGTCAGCCATTTTGAATTTTCAGAGGCGCAAATCAGAAAAACAATGCCATAATTGTGATCTACTCTGAAATACCTTCAATTTGAGTATAATATAGCCATACTTTTAAGAGATTAGAAAACAATTGCGAAATCCCGCATTAGGCGGCCATTTTTGAATTTTTTGAGGCCCGAATCAGAAAAACGTTACAATATTTGCAATCTACTCAAAATTTCCTTTCATTTGAGTATAATAAAGCCATACTTCAAAAACATCTCAAAATTAACGCAAATTCCTGTTTTCCCGATCCCCCATTTACGGCCCATGGGGGTCAGGGTGAAGAACTTGAGATATATGTGAAATAGATAGATGTTGTTAATATACTACCAAAATTTCAAATAATAATATTTATTATTTTGGTTTAAAATGAAAAACATAAGATTCTAGCAAAAAATTCCCGCCATTTTTAAACTGGTGGCCATCTTGAAAAACATTTTTTGCATAAAACTGTTCACCAATATACATCTTTCCACCAAATATGAAGAAAATCTGTTGACTAGTATTCGAGTTATCTTCCGGACAGACGGACGGACTGACGGACGGCTTCACTACCTACAGAACTTCGTTCGTTGGGATAATTAATGTATGTCGTTAATACAGGATGCTTCTGTAGGTTTTAAGTATTTTTAGTGCTTTCTTCCTCTCATGAAATCCCTTACCCCCATAAATGTGGGGTTATTTTGAGGATTTTTAATATTTAGGACATTTGTTACTCAAAATAACCCCACAAAGTTAAGGCTTTGATTCTTTGGGGATTTGCTAAACAATAGCATACACATAGAATTTGTACTAATATTATTAGAATTTACTCACCTTTTTATGTTTTTCGTATCGACAAGACATTAATCTTCAACATGCTACCAAATATAGCCCTCTAAGTGTTGTATTCATTCTTGTAATGACGATTTAATACGGATAGCAGATACACCGTATTTCTAGAAAAGTTTTTCAAATTTCATGCGCAGTCGATATTTTTATCTAAATAACAAACTTCGCGCAAATACGAAATCCAAAAGTAAAAATGGAGGGAAATTTTGAAAAATGATTTTCACCTTCCGGAGTGTATTAAAAGGACTGTCAACCTCAAGTTTGGCCGCTGTAACGTCTACGGCCTTTGTTTTCCTGAACTTAGGCATAAGCAATAATTTTGTTATTAATTTGACAGGTGATTTCGTTTGGCACTGTTAAGTTTCCCATCTACCACATAATTCCTCCCAAAATGCAACGCGCGAAAATGGCCAAAATTTGAATAGATTTCGAAAGTCAAATATTACAGCAAATTGTTCCAGTTATAAAGCATTGTTTCGACTGATCGGTCGCTCATTACATTGGAAAAAGAATCTTCTTCACAGAAGAGAAGAAAAAAGCTAAGGAAACTGCCGATATTGTCAGAACTTGAATCTTAAAATCATGTGAAAAAACCGCAAAGAATCAAAGCCTTAAATTTGTGGGGTTATTTTGAGAAACAAATGTCCGAAATATTAAAAAACTTCAAAATAACCCCACATGTATGGGGCTAGAAATCCCTTGGATAGAAGAAAGCACTAAAAAAACATCTTAAAACCAATAGTATGAAAACTGCCCATGCTTATCCATTACTAAGTCTCATGTGATGACGTCCACTCGTTGGATTACAATTTGGTAGTTTGGGACACATATAACTGACAAAAATAGCACACCTCAAATAAATTCCTGAGTATTTTAGGATTCTTTTTTTTAACCTGTGGCTCATCTTGTGCCAAGACCATCTCAGATTCTGGTCTTGCAGAGCCTCAGTGCTAAATTGTAAACTGCGGGATTGTAGCTACACACATACTTCTTACCTCACTTGATTCTAAACATGGCAGCTAGTGCCAAAAAGCAGTGGACATTTGGCCTAACTGACCACTTATAGCTAGATCACTGAATCAATCAATGATGATCAATGAAGAATGATTTCAGAAAGTACGGCTCATTCATCAGTGATCGTTCTGATGTATTAGGACCGGAACAGATACAAGAATAGTAGAATTGACCGAAATCAAAACCCCCCACCCCTAGACTTACTCTATCCTAAAGTTGTTCTGAAATTTTTTGAAAGTTGCCCTAGGCCTACTTCACCAACCCCCCCCCCCCCCACCTGATTACACAGTTTTCCTTCTGTATTTGTTATGAAAAAAAGTACAAACCTTGAGGAAAAAGTGAGGCATCTGAACTCATCACAGGCATAAGAAAGTTCGAGCCACCGGGTACATTCATCGTAAGACCGTCCCCCGCCGGCATTAGAAGCAGAGGAGGGGGAGTAGCATCTTTCTGATTTCGGTCTGCCATTTCCACGTCAAGTAAAGGAAGTGACGTCATTCATGTCATTGCTTTGATTTTTTTTGATTTTTTGTTAATTTTGATAAATTGGTAATTTGATGAATAAATGGAACATTATATTTTTATATTTGTTGATAAAATTGATAAATAAATAATTTTGAGACTATGTTTATCGTTCTCGTTTTGGCGGGTTTTCCAAATCCACATGTTTTATTTCCCGCCATTTTTCTAAACAGGTCGCACGTCCACTACGCTGTTGCTCCATTTATTCAAGTTTTGCGGTGTTTGCTGCATCGCCAAGGATGCCAGGAATTGAAGATTGGTTGCATTGTCCTCTGGACATCATACAGAATATATATGGTGAGAATGTTTACTGTAATCGTGTCAAAAAGTGACTTAAATCAAAATATCAGAGATGAATGAAAAATCACATGGCCGGAAACAAAGACAAAGATTTGTAAGCAATTACTCGCTGAGGTTTTGGTATGATTATCTTGTTATACTCTGTTTATTTCTAGTATAATGTTGCCTTAGTTATGTAGTTATCATTTCCACTGCCAAATTTGATGTGAAATTCCGATTTTTGATAGAAAATCTGATTACAAAACTTGACTTTCAACACGTCAAAACGTTGTGTTCATGTTGTCAGTATTTCTTATCCTGTTCCCGGACTATGGTCCTGTGAACATCTCACTCTTTTGCCTGTGCGATTACAACATGGGAGAGTTTTTTACGCTTCTTACACTTCAGATACCTACTTCAATAGATTCCTTGGTATTTTAGCATTCTTTTCGTGTAGTTGAATCCACAATTGTCTGGGTTTATCGGCAGAACGAAGACATTTTCGTTTTTGATCGCAATATTTGCGTGTAACATTTAACTTATTTCAACCGTCAAATTCCTCCATATTGGTACTTCCGGTCCACATCCGGGACAGTCATACGGGGGATTCCCCTTTTAAATCCAACCGCCATGTTGAAAAGTGATGGAATCTCTCTCGATGAAAAAGAAAAATGTTCCCGTTCTGCCGATATACCCAGACAATCGGCGGTTCCAATACATTAGAAGTTACATTTTGAGTTCTATAATGCATTGAGGTAGGTATCTTAGAGTCCATTTCACTGCTTCAGTTCGTCAGTAGAACGGCAAAAATAAGAAATTGGGAGACCATTGTACAATAATATATGGAAAAGTATATTCATAATGTACATGAATGACATTTGTATATCTTGGATTGCTTCTAGTTTGGCTTATAAAGTGTGTGGCCTCTTATATTTGGATGTTTCTCTGCCATGTTATTTTCAATAAGATTAACATGGCTGAAATTCTTCAAATTACAAGACGGCACAGGCTTATTGCACAAAAAACTAAAAAATCTGAAATATACAAATGTCATTCATGTACATTATGAATATTCTTTTCCATATATTATTGCACAATGGTCTCCCAATTTCTTATTTTTGCCGTTCTACTGACGAACTGAAGCAGTGAAATGGACTCTAAGTGTAAGGGGCGTAGATAATTCTCCCAAGTTGTAATCGTACAGGCAAAAGAGTGCGCTCCATACAGGACTATAGTCTGGTACGTAGTATGTATCCAACAGACTGACTAGAAGTCAGTCTGTTATGATGTACTACTTTCCTGTGGAAATTGCAGTGAAATTTTTTGCACAAAATTATCAATTGGAGGAACCATTTTTTCAATAAAATAAACATTACAAAATTTCAATTAAATAGTAAGGTACAATTAAATGCAATAAAAAGTAACATAGCATATTGTCAAGTGGAAATAAAGCTAGTTGAAATAACAAATGTGCAAATTAATTTTACCCAATCGGCCATTTTGAATAGCACTTCCTATGTAAACAAATATATAGAATTGCCAAACTTTAACATAGGTGCCTTATAGTCTGAATATAATTCAGACTAAATAGGATATAGTCTAGTCTGGTACGGGATAAAGTATTTCAGTTTTTCCATTTTTGAAAAAATTGAGCTTTTGATTGCCTATTTGTTATGTTTTATCTGCGCACAACCTAATAGAGATGAACTGCAACTACAAGGGTAATCTGGATATAATTTTTGTGCAAAACTGAAAGATGAAGGGTACCCTTTGCATTCGTTTGACTTCACTTCTGAAAAGAGAGCTTTGTCTTCACTTTTTCAAACTAAAATAAACCTGTGAATTCACTGCGCAAATCAGTGTACGTCGGCCAAATTTGACCGACGTTCTATATATGGTCATTCCTTCTGACATCATTTTTGAGCCCGGAATTGACCAATGACATGCGCATATTTAATTAGAATGCATTAGGCGTATGTTTCTTCAAACTCGCTGATTGGTGGAATAAAGGTCAGCGCGTAGGTCAGAAGTGATTATTACCCAAACTGTCACTGGTACCTGTCGTGGGGGCGGGGCTACTAAACTGTACTATGGTCTCTAATAGGCAGAGTGTAGTTTAACTAGACTGCACGCAGGGTAGATGAAGGGGGTAACTTTGACACCTTGTTTATTTGCTCTAATTTCTGATCTAGGGGGAAGCCATGTTTTTTTCCGCATGGATCGAGATCACGCGAGATTTTATAATTTTTCCAGAAATCAGACATGGCGGAAAACTGAAATTCTACTTCAAATATACCTAAGTTTCGAAGTTACCCTGTCTCTTATGTCAACATTAGCCCACACGTCAACGTTACACCCCTTTGCCCTAAAGAAAGATGTTAAGAGAAGACCATGATTTTTTAACAACTTTGATCATGAAAAATAAGGAAATGATGATACTCATTCACCACGAATTTAGTTACCAGTACGTATTATGTGCTAAAACCTCCATAAGTTCCATTGTAAATTTGTCAAAAAATCATGATCTTCACTATAGACCATGGGATGAGTTAAGTGTACAGCGGCTTTCAAGAGGAAGTTCTTCAAAGGCCATGGTAGGCCTACCTGAACATAGCATTGGACTGAGTCCAGCTTAGAAGCCATTAGAATTTCTTATCATGCTGATATACATCAGTAATCTCATGTTTTAAAAAGCTCACCTGATTTCGTTGCACTGTGCTTTGTGGCAGTTTTCTAAGAACTGAATGTATTACTGTTACTGCTAGGACGGAAAATGTGCAATCTTTGTGTTATATGCTAAAATTGCACATATCCCGGCCTTACAGTAGCAGTCTTTACAACATTTCAACATTGCATAAATTACATTTCTTTACCTTTGATTGTGATGGCATGTTCATCATCAATCATTCAAACATTTTACAATAAGGAAATGTATTTTATTGATGGTGAGAAATTTTCGAACAAATAAGAAGACAAAAATGGTGAAGATTAATGGAATCTAAAATGTGAAAATGCAACAGTTCAGTTTGTTGATGGAAGGTCTAGAAAGAGGCAGTCTGTATGAGATAGTCAAACTGCACCTGTCTCGGCCTCCTGTCTCAAACAATATCAACAAAAGATATAATTGAAAAGTTGAGTGAAGACAACAAGAACTAAAGTTCAGCTGAGGATATGGACACATCAACCTGCAGAGTTTATGATATAGTAGAAGTTTATGACCATGTCAAGCTTTCTTTTATGAGCTGTAGTGTGAGTTTTGATAATAATACTGCTTGTACTTTCAAAATACATGTACATATTCTTAGAGCGTGCATGACTTTAGGATGTTCTCTGTGTAGGCTAAGACGTGTGCAAGATTGTTTGTGGTAGCTCAAATTGCACTTGTCTCGGTCTGCCAAGAGAAAAAAATTGACTAACAAATAACACCCAATATCGATATGTTGAATAGACTGCTACTTTGGCATACTTTTGACTGTTACCTACAACTATCCAGTATGCAGTTGAACTATTATGTTCTTTCAAAGATTAAAAATCAAAAGTTTTGCTTGTGGAAGTCTGCACTTTCTAGTCGTGGAGTATGCAGAACGAGACCATATTCAATGATATTTGAGAAGCTGAATAAGTAATGCATGTGAGTAAGCTTTTACCTGGTTTCTAGTTGGGGTCTGTAGGCCTTGACAGGTTGCAATATTTGTATTTTTGTAATCAAATTGCACTTGTCCCGGCCTGCCTGCTGCAATCTTTGCTACCAACATAAACTACAACCAACCAGAGAATGAAATAGCTAGCTTTTTAAATGACCTTATAAATCAAAGAATAAAGATTCTATCGCCATTATAGACTATTATTAGGTTTAAACAGGTTTGAGAAGAGTCTGGTGCATTTTGTTGAAGTTGTAGAACTAGAGCTGAAGCTAATAACTATGATAAATGGGTATAATGTTCAACTAATGAGTTTTTAATTGCTACTTTAGCTCCAACCTTATGTAATTGTAATGGTACTGCTTCCTGGTTAAAAGCAGAATCAGATCTATAGGGAGTTTACCATTCTTATAGACAAATATTACATTATTGTTAAAATCATTAGTTTCCTCAAATAAAGTATTTTGGGTATTTTTAGAAAATAGACTTTAGGGGCATTTAATATTATGCTCAAGGATGAATATCCAATATGTTCTCTCAATAGAGGAGCTGCTTTACAGGGCAAATCAAAAAAGTGCAACAAACAGTTGTCTTATAAAGCCACAAAACCAGTGCAGGGGTTTCAATAAGCACAGGCGGATGGCGAAAACGCCTGTTCAAATCTCAATTACGCCTGTTCAAATATGTAGAAATAAAATTCACTGTTACTTACCTTACCCTAAATTATTTTAGTGAAATAAGTTTCAGCCTGTTGAAATTTGCCAAAAAGAAGAGTCTGGTGCATTTTGTTGAAGTTGTAGAACTAGAGCTGAAGCTAATAACTATGATAAATGGGTATAATGTTCAACTAATGAGTTTTTAATTGCTACTTTAGCTCCAACCTTATGTAATTGTTATGGTACTGCTTCCTGGTTAAAAGCAGAATCAGATCTATAGGGAGTTTACCATTCTTATAGACAAATATTACATTATTGTTAAAATCATTAGTTTCCTCAAATAAAGTATTTTGGGTATTTTTAGAAAATAGACTTTAGGGGCATTTAATATTATGCTCAAGGATGAATATCCAATATGTTCTCTCAATAGAGGAGCTGCTTTACAGGGCAAATCAAAAAAGTGCAACAAACAGTTGTCTTATAAAGCCACAAAACCAGTGCAGGGGTTTCAATAAGCACAGGCGGATGGCGAAAACGCCTGTTCAAATCTCAATTACGCCTGTTCAAATATGTAGAAATAAAATTCACTGTTACTTACCTTACCCTAAATTATTTTAGTGAAATAAGTTTCAGCCTGTTGAAATTTGCCAAAAAGCCTGTTGAAAAAATATTTATTGAAACACCTGCAGTGAGGACTGAATCAATTTCATTCAATGCACCATGGAGTCACATCCCTCCTCTTTTCAACGATATGCCATTCATTCACACTATAAGGTTTGGTTGGGCAAAAAATCATTGCTTTTGCAGTGGTTCAAAGTCTGCTCTGGACCAAGTTTTAGACAATTCCATAAGTCAGTGCAAGGGCTAAGTGCTAATGGAAGTTCTCCTG